CTTCACCACAGGCTGCAGGGGAATCTCTGCTCCAGCACCTGGAGCATCTCGTCCCCCTCCTTCTCCACTGACCTTGGTGTCTGCAGAGCTGTTCCTCTCACATATTTTCACTCCCTCTCCGGCTGCAGTTTGCATTGGTTTTTTTCCCCCCTTCTTAAATATGTTACTACAGAGGCGCTGTCACTGTCGCTCATGGGCTCAGCCTTGGCCAGCGGCGGGTCCGTCTTGGAGCCGGCTGGCATTGGCTCTATTGGACACAGGGGAAGCTTCTGGCGGCTTCTCACAGAAGCCACCCCTGTGTAGCCCTCCGCTACCAAAACCTTTCCACGCAAACCCAATACACTGACATATATCACAAAGTAAACATTCATAGTTTTGTCTATGCAGCAGAGCTTTAAGTAGAACATTCTCTCTGTCACCTGGGAATTCTGCCTTTTCCCAGCCTTGCAGATAGGTGTAACTTCTACCTTATTTTGCTTAAGGAGCAAAATGATCTTTTGCATGACAACCAGTGCAACACAAGTCACAAATACCCACATGCAGATAAAAAAGGGATTCCTTCAAGGGCTTATTGTTGGTGAAGAAAAAAAAAAAATTATTTTTGTGGCCAGATAAATACTATACGTAAGGGTGTGGCAGCATGACTACAAACTCCTTTGTGCCTTTCTTGGGGTTAAAACTTTAACAGGAAGGGAAGACATTAAAGTGAGAGTTCAACTCCCTAGAAACTCCAGCATATAATTACAAAACTCCCTTGAACAGAAGGTTCTTCCAATACAACTAAAGTGTACTAATTTGAGAGAAAACAGAAATCTCTACTGCTTTATTATTTTTAAAAAGTTAAAAAAGTGACAAAATGGCACTTATTTGTAGCTCAGTAAATGACAGATAAGAATCTTTAGGCAAAATGAATCATGTTGTCAGATATGAACTGTCATGGGTATAGCATTTCCACACACTAGGACACAGGGCTGCGTCAGCCTGCCCCTTGAACTGGGCCATGTCTAGTTTAGATCGATTCTCTTGTTAAATTTCTCTGGTGCTGAAACATTGCAGCCCAGAACTCTTCTGCAGTATCTGCTTTTTGCAGCGGCTGGGCAGATTACACAGAGTTTGGCACAACCTTTACCATGCCTTCTGGAGACCTCTGTGTAGCTCACATGCAGAAGGCTGAAAACAGCAAATACGCAAATTTCAGCACTGTTGAGTTTGTTGACTCCAACTAGGAAGTATCAGATTCAGGGGCCTAATCCAATACCAGGCAATCGACACAGGGGATACTCTGCCAGAATTATGGAAACTACCAGCTACTGAAGAAACAAATGCTGCTTGTGTTGTGCCTCAGTACCAGGTCCTCTTCCTGCTCCGTGCTGACTGAAGCAGTGTGAGTTAGGCAGTGCGTCCCCCTGACCACTGTGATGAAAGTAGGGATGTTGCCTCTTGGGCTGAAGTACACCCATGTGGCTCTACTCAGTGCTGCGTGCACTTAGCAACATTTGCTCAAGGATCTCTGCATCGCTCTGTTTCTGCATTTGGCATCATAAACCTTGTGCCACAAAAATATGTTGTTCCATTAACATGAACAACCACAGTATTTTTAATGTATACTACTGTGAATATGGAAAAGCAGGTTTCAGGAATCATGACAGTTACGGGCAGATAACTCTGTTAATCATGATGCAGTTACATACAGTATAAGGCACAAAAAAACCTAATCCAAAACCAGAGATTAAAAAAAATGTAGGGAAGATAAATGTAGTGATGGCACATGCCGTACTCCTGGGGTGAGTATCTTACCAGTTCGGACTGATTAAAAGCAAAAATGTGCTCATGAGCTAAACATACTTACATTGAGGGGGTCTAGATTATGTATTCATGCCTTCATTAGGAATTAAGTAATGAAGATGCAGAAAATCAAAGGGAAAGGGACAGATGAAACAAGAGTCTAGCCTTCAATTTTTGTTTTAAAACTTTTCTTACTTTGAGGCTTCCGATGGAGAGAAGTTTAGACAAATGATAAAATGTTCAAATTATTTTCTGAATAGTTAGAGAAACAACACTAGACTATTTGTACACAAACAACGTTGAGGCATTTTGCTTTTAATTTGCATACAATTCCTTAAAGTGAGTTCCACATGAAGAAGGGTGAGATACAACAGAGCTCGTTTACCATTTCACAAGCTAACAGAACAAAGTAAACATCTGTCCTTCTTATTAACTAGCTTCCATCCCTTACTCCAACTTGTCACTTCCTGCTGCAAGTCTCCATGCCAAATAAATGCATGGAGTAGTTCCAAACTACACAGACATTCACATGTGGACTTCAGTGGTACTGCAAATGATAACAGCAAGAAAAAATTGAAAGACTGTAGAAGAGCTTATATTCTCTTAATGTTTCCCAAATGAAGACCCAAAATTCAGAGTAAACAAATACTTCAGTTGTTCAGCTCAGCTACTCATCTGACTGTGGTTCCTCTATGGAGCACGTAGCTAAGGAGAAAAAAGAACAATACTTTCTGACAAATAAGGGGGGGCATTAAATCGGAAATAGAGAGGTCTCAAAATAACTGTCCTAAAATGGACTTCCCAAATTCATCTGAAACACAGTTTGAGCATGCTCTTTCCTTCTACATACTGATAAAGTTTTCTAGCTATACAATTTCCATACATAATTGCATTTGACCAGACTTTTGACTTCTTTCAAACTGGCAAATACCATCCTGCTCAAAACATACTACAACAGTATTATACCTACAATAAAACACTGTCATGGTGCAAAGCACAGCATCATCTTTCTTCGTGCTTTAATGAGACCAAATAATAGGTTAAACATAGGTTGAAAGGGAAGCAGTAACAAATCTGTCTGGCAGATCTTTCTGAGAGAGATGGGAATGTGAGGCTATCCAGGGAAAAAAAAGAGAAAGAGCCCTAAGTTGCAAAGAAGCTGGACCTACCAACAGCAGCAGAAAATCCCTACCACTAGAGATGTCTTTATTTAGGTCTTACAGCAATAAACATCAATTTAGCTTTCTGCCTAAAAATTTACAGGAAGCCTTTTTTTGTGTGTGGGAGTTCTTAACATCAAGATTCTGTGACACTGCTCCCAGTGAGTTGAGTGAAAAAAAATCCTATCAGTTGTGCTGAAGCAGAAAACTACAGAACTCGGAATTGCATGTCTCTGCTAGTAAGGGTCTGCATAAGCACACAAGCCTACCTACACATCACAGCACATCTGTCAGTGCCAGTGATTCCATTTGGGATTTGCCAATTTTTTCCTCTCATGATTGTGGATTCTCCAGCAACTCTACTGAGTCTGAAATACGTCAGTACCAGAGAAGAGACTCTAACAATAAAAATCTTTGTACAGTTTAATATTTATTAATTCTCTAGTAATTTTTTGCTATATATTTAACACTAGTGTGACAAAATTCCTGATAATTATATCTCATGCAGGTAACTTAAATGAGGAGTGCACACTATCTAGAACTGGTAAACCTACCACTAGGGGGGTTACTTTTGAATCTACAAGACAAGTATTTCTGCAACAATGACAACTAGGTGGGTATGCATATAACGTAACAGGCTCAGCTGAATGTACTTGGCAGGTATCTAAATGACAGCACAGCCTTCAGAAGGACTGTGGCAACATCCTTTGACCTAAATAGACTTGACATTATTGTTTAAGAGGGCTTGAGTGGAGTTGGAGGCATGTTGGGAATTGTTAGGAGAGATGGTGTTTCTGTAGTTAGTCAAATAGTTTACCTTTTGCTAGTTAAAGTTGCTGTGATTCGTGTTCATTCTTTGACAGGGTAAAATGTGTTACTCACTCTACCCATAATTGCTATTGTTTAGGTCACAACAGAGATATTGAGAGCATACCATACCTTCCTGCAGCTGAAGACAAAGATTGCTGATAGATTGCTGCTATTCCTTCTCTGCAATTCCTTGGTGAGTACATTTTCATCAATACCAACTATGAAAACAAACTCCCTAGAGTCCAGTTTTTTTTAAAATATATTACAGGAAAAGTCTACTTGTAAATCACTTATTCTTTTCTCCTACAATACCCACAGGTTTCAAACCAAAATAATTATAAATGAAATTATTAAAGGAATAACAAGAGTTGTGATAGTCTTTTGTTGTACTGGGCACTTCCCTTTTTTAACTAACATACATTCTAACAGAAATCCCACAGTACGAACCAGATAACTTCAATTAAAAAACAAAATGCAAACTATTCAGTCCAATGTTAGAGCATGTGTATGTGTGTAAAATACTGTAAAAGTAGTCACACATTAGAGGTATATAATTGAAACAGCATTTTCCTTCATGAATCTGCTATTATTGAGGCAGTGACAAGGTTTCCATTTCTTTGTTTTCTGAGCTCTTTAAAGAATGGCTATTGCCACATTTTGTAAAACTAAATACTGTACAAGCAGAAGCTTGTTGGTATCAGGTAAGGAGTAATACTACTAGTGCAAACAGGTGCAGAGACAATTCCTCCAGTTTTGGGGTGAACCAGCTATATAACACTGAAAGAGGACAGGCATCTTCTTCAAACCCACACTCATGCGTGTTTCTCCACTCAGACATACATCCTTCTCCATCTTGGTCTTCTTTTTACAAGGGTTAGTTGGGGGAGAACGACCAGCTCATACGATATTCATCATATGAAAGGTTTCTTGACTGTTTTCCTATTAATATTATGAATGTTTTATAACAAGTCAAGGAACGATAAATGCCTCAAGCATCAGGAAAGTGACAATAATACTGACTTAGTATCTTTAGTAAAAAGTGAAACATTCTCTCCTGAGATATAAGTCAAGGAAGGAACAGGAATGATGAACCTAACACTGTACCATTATTTGATCATCATGCACCTCAGCTGACCAGATGAGAAAGAACAAGTATTTATTGCCCTCTGCTCATCCAAAGCTATGACAGGCAGTTTATTTAGGTAAGTGCTTGGCATACCAGAATGTTGTCAGAGCAGTTCTCACTGTACTGTCCCCCTTTAGCTTATTTCTTTAAAAGAAAAGAAAAAAAAAAAAGAAGAAAAAAAAAAAAGGGGAAAAAAAAAGGAAGAAAAATCTCAGCAGGTTAACCCTCATCTTCCCTCAGCTCTGTGGGCAGAAATTTGTATTGCTGTTGGCGGATCTGAGCCAGTTTTTTTCTTGCCTCTTCCAGCTCTCTTTCCTTCTTCAGCATTTCTTCTTGGGCTGCAATGATCTAGAAAACAGAAGCATGAATTATGACAGCAAGGAATACTGTCTGTAAAACACGATTTCTTTATGACACCAGTCACAGCTAGGCCTTGAGCATTCTCCAAAGAAGCACCAAATTTCAATGGCTTCAGCAGG